ATTGCCGCGTGCAACGCTTGTGTAACAGCAACAGAACACAGGGGTTCATTTCAGTAAGATGAGGGGCGGATACTTACTCCTGGGCTTCATTTCCGACGAGGGGAGGGGCGGTCACCACTCCTTGCCCTTATGTAGCTTCGCCACCGCGTGTAATGTTCTTCTCTTTTGTATAGTTGTTATACTTGACTATGTAATTGTTAGTATTGTTGAGGGTAAATATGTAAAAGCGTTAGTTCTATTAACACTATAAATGTGTTCTTTCTCTATAAGTCTCAATATTGGGAAAGAGCCTGCAGCTTTTATTGCTGCAGACAGAGTAGATGCGTACAGGAAACTCGAAAAACTCCTTGAACTCCGCCATTGCACTAGACATCCAATTGTCTGATATCCCATAGTTGATCACCTGCTTCACTTATAACATTTTGGATTACACATAACATAGTACAAGTGAAAGGAACAAATATTGAGGTTTCCGGACCTAATAAAATCAAGTTGGAAAGACGAATATATGAAAGGAAATCATTTTTTTTTTAAGGGGGATTAGGATGTAAGCAATTAAGCGTGATCATTCATTAAAATATCTTATTATAATCTTACAATGAATAAAAGTAAATTTCAACCAGCTCGGTTTTTGCTTTCACAGAGAGCAAAAACACATTTATTCAAATGAACAACATTCAAATTGTATTATTAAGGGGAGGGGTAGTTTAAAACCCAGCATGCATATATAGGTAGAAACTCCGCATCCTATCCATTAGGATATTCGACCACATACAACACTCAGAGCCATCTAAATTCTTGCATTCCATTTACTTTTCGCTCCATCGTAATCAACTGTTGGTCATCATCAGCTAAGTTTGGAGCTTAAGGGTTTCCATTGCAAATTCGCTTTTACCTTCGAATATCGTCGTATTAAAGTTGCGAACAAACTCTTTGTACTGGGAACTTTTATATAGTTGGGGATTGCTTGCACTAACAAGAGCTCTTGCAGGTTCTACAACGCAAACATAAGAAGGCGCAACGAAAAATCCTGCAGATGTCCTAGCATTACATGGATTCGCCACAGCCCGATGTTCAGAACTTTTCAGCTTCCCATTACTGATGATCTGCATCCCACGTCAACAAAAATTGGTAATTAAGAAGACTGATACGCTATAATTTTTTTTTTTCCACGTAAAGAGGGTACTGAATCTGCTGATCTATACCTGTAACTGATAGCCTATGTTAACCACAAGTGCATGTGAAATAGGCTCCACACCAACCCATTCCCCGTCTTTGAAAACTTGAAGTCCATTTACATGATCCTCTTGCATTAAGATGGTTATGACGTTTGGGTCACAATGTTTAGTTAATCCTAATGTCAAACTTGGGTCGGGGCAAGGCGGGTAATGATTAACCGAGAGTATCAAGTTTTGGGTAAGTTCGTTTCTGAAATACCCAGTTCCGAGCCCAAGTCCTTCACTGATTAGCTCCAAAATGTTCAGAGCCAGTTTCCTCACTTGTGTAGAACATGTCCCAACAAGCTCTCTGAAATCATCAACAATTGATTCATATGAATCTTTGACAAATATATGCATACAAACAATGGTATTTTTCTGAACATGAAACTGCAGGCCTTACCGATATCTACTTGGCTGCTGAGGCCAATCTTGCAAGCATTCCGCCAATGGATGACAAGGGTGTCGTAGGACATCGCGCCAAAGATGAACATCTTCCCCATCATAATTTACGCTGCTGCTGAAGAGCTTGCAACTTTTTTGGGGGTCCTCAGAGTAAACGCTTGCCTTGTCCTCTAGCGGCAACGCAAAGAACTCCTTCAACACACTCATTGTGTCACTTAACAGAGTATCTGAGATGCCATGGTTGATTGCCTGCTTTGCAACATTTGGAAATCACATTGATGAAAATCTGATAGTTCTTTCAACCGATACCTTTAATTAACAGAGTTTGTACTTGTACACAAGCTAGCCTAAACACAGAATACCCAACTCTTAACAAAACTGTTAACAATTTTAACAGAAAGTTAACAGCTGTAACGATCATTAGCTAACTTTACTAGAATATCGACAATTAAGGGAAGAACTTCGAGTTCTGATAAGGAACCTGAAAAAATCCGAATTCTTGACTGGCCTCGAGTATTTGGTGAATGATGTAGGCACGATCACCGCCTTCAGCTCCACCAAGATCAATAACTGGAATGTTCTTGCATGAAGGAGCAGCAGCAAGCTTCCCGGGTCTTGAATCCGGTGGCCATATGAAACTCTCCGGCAAGGTTCCATCTTTGTACCAGCTTGAAACAAGCTTCTCCATTTGCTCCAAATGTGAATCTGATCCGGCGATGACTGAAGACCAAAAAATAGTGCATGATAATATATATTTGTTGTAGGACTGTAGCAATTTGATAACGATAATATACTTTAATTTGCATCAACCGTCCATCCAATCTCCACACAGTCTACTTTAAATAAAACATAAATAGCGAACAGGGTGCCAACTATGTCGGTTTTGCCGTATTGTCATGTGATGCCATGTGAGAAACATTGAAGGACTTTCTTCAGTGTGACCGAGGGGCTGTGACGAAAGTTACTACCAACGGGATGTATATACTTGGTTATAAGGTAAAATCTCTGGCAGCTTTGCCACCATTTATAAACAAGACCACAAGTGTGATCCATGAGCCACGTTCGCTATAGGCTGTAGCGAGTGCTCCCATTATGCCATTGATTTTTGAGAAAGAATATCGTGTGTGAAATCATGACGGCTCCCAAAGTATGAAGGATTTCCCAAATTCACGTCAAGTCAAATTAGATACCAGAAAATATGAATTTCAGGGAAATAAATTCAGAAGAAAAACGCAGATTAGGTTCTAAGAGATTAAGCATGATGATTGATTGAAATGATTTTCACACGTCATTTTTCTCTTCTATACACTTTTACTTTTTCTAACCTTGGTTTTGAACAAAGAAAAATACAATCGAGAGACACAAGTAAACGGAGTGTGCAAAATGTGTAAAAGAGACGTGCATAAATCATTTTCTTGACATTATTCACTAGACGTGTTTCAAATTTTTATTTTATTTTTCTTTGAACCAAAAAAAAGGCCAAAAGAATAATTGAAAGATATATAACAAACAAGTCGGGTATCATTACGAGTTGAAGAATACAAGCAAGGATACACAGGGAAAGGGATCATCTCCACATCCTTTTCATCAAATCTACCTTATCAATCAATCCGGATTCTTAAAATTTCATTCAATAGTTAAAAATAAAGTATTACTTTAAAAGTTATAATAAAATTAATCGTTATATCAAATTTCAATAATTTGAATTGATTGATAGAAAATATTAGGAGAAAATCCTTTTCGGATAAACAGAACTCCACCAGAGTGTATCTACTCGACTGCACAAGTACCAATTGGCAGTTTTCCCATACTTTTCAATAATTAAGACAAACGACTTTGTGGTCAATCCCTCGATGCGATTTTCTTAGATGCTCCGGAAAACACGATACTCCGGAAATTGTTAGAGAAATGGGTGAAATTAGGAACTGTCAGAGAAGTGCTTTTTTATCCATTAGAAATTTAAATTAAAAAAAAAATAGATATTTACCTTAAAATTAGCGGTGCCCGTAGGTGGGGACCCGGGCTGATGGCGGTGTGGGTGTGGCTGCCTGACTGATGGCTTGGAAGTTGGACTGAGCTGGCAACCTGGTTGCTGGACCAATGGCAGAAGCAGAACAGAAGTGGTCTAGAATAAAGGAGCAGCCGGCAGCAGCAGAACAGAAAGGATTTGTCCTGGTCTAGGGTCAAGGAGAAGACGGATCGTGAAGGGTTAATGGGGGATGAGTGGTAGTTATATTTTATTTTTTTTTTTGAACAAAAGTTATTATTTATCTTAAAAATGAAGATTAAATAATAATAATATGATTCAAATTTATTTTTAGTAAGAATCAAACTTAAAACTTCTCAGTTATAAGTGAAGAGAAATATCATTAGATTGTAATACTAAATGACACAAAGAAATTAATATTAACACCATGTCATCATTCTTCGAAATCCTCTATCAATGTCGGGAGGACATAATAAAAAAAGAAGAAAGATTTATGAACGTACCAAATCGACAACTCTATGATATGATTTTATTTTATTATTATGTCAAAGTGTTGGATGCCGTTCGATATGAAGGAGAAAAAATTCTCAGGTCTAAAACAACGTCGTTTTGGTCTGAGTATGTGCACAACAATAGAATTCATACGAGGAATGTATGTTTTCTGACAGACCAAAAGGGCATCTCATCGCTGTTGGGCTTAAGTGAGCATCGAATTGGGTAAAGAGGGTTTGATTTCCACTGTTACACTAGTCATCTTCAGTGCTGACACATATTTACTATTAAATTTGAGGGAATTATCATTGAAACTCCAAAAATATCTTTTTACACTTCAAACTTTCTATAATTAAAAAGAAAATTACACTTATTAAGAATGTATAATGAAAATTTTGAAGTGTTATTAACGATTTCCAAATTTCATATGTAACTTAAATTGAATGGCCAAGACTGTTGAATCAATTTTACCCGTCAAAAATATATTGACAACGGGACGCAAACAGACACACACACAACTTTGTCTTTTGTGCTTACACGTGTGGTTTCCCTGATAAAAAGTTCACTCGGGTGTTCATTTGTGTTTTTTGCAGCTGCTTCTTGCTCTTGTGTAATGTGATCCATCCGAAATGGCGGTTAGTTAAACTGTGAAAGCTTTTGGAGTCAGCTCCCAAACTTTTTGGTGGCAAACCGGAAAAAAAAAAAAAAAAAAAAAAAAAAAAAAAAAGCCCTGTTCATTTCTCAAATTACTCGGCCCCAATTTTTTCTTGAAATGTGATATCCGCACATCTTATTTTATTTCTTACATATATTTTGAATTTTTAACCGTTGAATTAGATAAATTGAAAAAATTAATAGATAAAAATTATAAGAATGTGTAAGAAGTAAAATGAAGTACGTGTACACTTTTTTTTTTTTTTTTTTCTTTCGACCCCCAACAATCTCACTTCATCTTCTTCTTCTTCTCCGATCGCTCTCCTCCGCCCCTGAAAGTTCAGCTCCGTTTCTCTCCCCTCCACTGCCAAGCCCTCCCGCTTAATCACGCTCTGCGCTCCCAATTCCGCTAAGCCGACGTCGTCCCTGTCCGAATCGGCGGCAGCGGAGGCCAGCAATGAAGCTTTTATTCAAGCTCAAAACGACATGTCGGAAAGTCAGCGGACTGTGGAGGTCGGAAACGCTAGCGTTCCGAGCCCGTCGGTGGCCAGATTGAGCTTGAGCGACCAGGCTTTCTTTCTCTTGGCCTTCGTCGCGTGCACGGTATGAGCCTCAATTATTGTATTTTGCGCTTGTGTAATTCAATTTGTGAGTTTGTTGTGGATAATTGGGATCAATTTGTAATTTTGTTGTGGAAATTGGGTTTGATTTGTATATTTGTTGTGGAAATTGGGACCAATCTGTAAACTTTCTTGACATAAATGGGAAATGTGAAAGTTCTAGTTAATTTTGTTCATACCCTGATGATACGAGTGCATGATTTGATTTCATTGTGCAGACTTCTGTGGCATTTACGAGCTTTGTAATTGCAGCTATCCCGACGCTGGGTGTAAGTTTTCTTTTCTTCAAATTTATTGTCGTTTTTTTTAGCTTGAAGGTTGCTCAAATTAATATATCAATTCAAAGGAAAGAGCAATCCGTTAATGCTTAGATAATCAGTTAAAACTTAGGGAGTTCTGCATTTGCTGTGGAATCTTCATTTTCGCAAGAACCCTAAACGCCGAATCACATCCTATTCATTATGTATATCTTTCTGCTGGTTATCGGGTCTTTGATGCTTTTGCTAGTGGTTGTCCCCTCCCATTCCTTAGACGATTGTAATTAGTTAATTTGAAGAGTTTGAGGGCTGCTGAAATGTTATTTGGTTGATCGGAAGATTCATCTTCTACTGCTTGCATGCCATGGAATGTGTAATAACTTCTTTCATGGCTTTAATCATCTTGGACTCTTGGCCTTTAAAGTTCTTGTCTTGGTTGCAAAAGAAAATCAGAACCGCAACTCTTGATAAATATATATATATATTTTTTTTCCAAAGACAAGTTTGCAGATTTAGGTTCCAATGTAGCTGTTTCTGGTATGTTCTGTAGGCAATGGGGAAAGCTGCAATATCTCTTTCAAAGCTGGCGGATACAGCTTGTGAAGAACTTCCTAGTACCATGGCTGCCGTTAGGCTTTCAGGCATGGAAATAAGTGATCTTACGCTGGAACTGAATGATCTTAGGTGATAACTAAATCTTCATTTTGGAGTCCTTGATTCATTTCTTATGTCATACACGGTTGCTTTGTAGTCTCTCTTCATAGTTAGACTCATCTCTTTTCGATGAGCTATCCGTTAACTGCTAGTTCATAACTCAAAATCAAGTCCATGCATACATACCCATCTGCTTAAGCAGTGGGGGTTTTAAGGGGCAAAAATTCAATCTAAGCTATTTTTCTTTTTCCCTTGGAAAATTGTGTGTTATACACTGGTGTTTACTTCCAGAAATACACTAAGCCCTGGTTTGGTACAGCTTAAATTTTTTTAAAAGCTGGGATGCAAAAAAGTTGAGCTCAATATTGTGTTTGGTAACTCAACAACAAAGCACTTATTTCCAAATCTGCTGTGAGAAACAGCTGGAAATGGGAAGCAGCTATTTGCTGCTTTCAAAAACTGGCTTTTTATCACAGCAACACTGGTGAACAGTATGGTTTAATTAAAGTTTTCAAATGGCAATCCTACCCTCACCCTGTCTCACTTCTCTTCCTTTCTCTGGCATCTCACTTCTAAACCTTTTGTGTATTTCGCTATCTGCGATGCCTATCTCGATGACTCCGAGGCGCTTTCGTTCTTAAACCAGTTGAAATCCGGTTTTGAGGATGTTAGTGGAAGTGGGTCGATCTTGGTTCGGGATAATTTTGCCCCCAGTTGCTTGCAAGTTCAGTTTGATTCGATTATTCGAAAAGTAATGGCCTCAGACTTGCCCAATTCGCCGGCAGCCAGTCGGAATCTAAGCTTTGGTGTGAGTAAAGGGAAGAAAATGGTGCTGACACCGCTGCTTGGGAAGAATCCAAGCGAAGGGTTGAAGAAGAAGAGGAGGTTATCTGGGGAGGTTCATGGCGATCTTTGCAAAGATGTGACTGCAATGGAGAAGAATGTGGATGTGTGCGATGATGCTACGGCGGCAGGTTTAGAGATTTTCCGTTGCCAACACAAAAGCGTGGTCTTTTGCATTCGGGTGACCGCCAAAAGGCCAAGCAAGTTTGGAGGAGGCATGTTTGGGTTGTTTTGATCCTTGACTTGTTTGTTTGCGTCGTGTTGTTTGGGATTTGGTTGTGGGTTTGCAGGGGATTCAAGTGCATTGACAGTTGAATGGGCGGATTTGGGAGGTTTTGGTGTTTCGGTGTTGTAATGTGCTTTACTTTGAAGATGGATGAAATTTTAGTAATTCACCTTTATCTGTTAAGAAAATTAAATTAATGGCACATTAAGTATTATACTTTTTTTGATCATTTCACACGATCACATCTGTTTTACATAAAATTTTACTAAACACTATAATACTGCTTTCTTTTTTTCCAAAAGCACTTTCACAAAAATGTTAAACAAACACTCTGTTGCTTTATTTCACAGCTGCTTATTTTCACAGCACAGCAGAAGCAGTTTTTTTTCAAAGCACAACAATATCAAACCAGCCCTAAACGAGGTTTGATAGGAGGAATTAGTTAACAACACTATTGGTAATTTTTGTATCTTTTATATATGCTCACATCATATTTTTCTTCAAACTTTTAAATTGGATGAAGTATGTCATGCTTTGTTTTCCATTCCATGCAGTCAAGAGATAGCTGATGGGGTCAGCAAGTCCACTCAAGCCGTTCAAGCAGCAGAAGCTGGGATTCTGCAGATTGGTACAATTGCACGGCAGCAGACTATGTCTATGTTTTAAGCTCCATCTCTGTGGCTTCTGGTTAGAAATTTGTCTTGTGATTGTCTTCTTAATAAGGCTTTCCACTGAATTCTGAACTATTGTTATCAATATTTTATGATACAGCAATGATACAGGAGAGGGCAAGCCTTCCCATCATCTCTTTGCAACCCGCTGTTGTCGGAGCAGCAAAGAAGACCTCTCTTGTTGTCGGGCAAGCCACTAGGAACTTGATCAATATATTATCAACACTTACACAAACTACGTAGTAATAAAACGCGCTTTCTCAACCAAAGTAGGGTGAGAAGATTATTTAATCTTCTATCACAATAAAAAAAGTTAAGAATAGTAATGTAATTTTACAAAACAAAATTTTGTTGTTTTTTGTCTAAACCTTACCTATAGGTGACTTTAACATCTCTAATTTTAAAAAAAATTAAAAATTAAAATTAAACTTCTCTCCCTATCACAAGTTCTAGAGAGAGATTTATTTTTTATTTTTTTAGATAAGAAATGTTAAAATAAAATGACTATTTAGGCCACGTAAGATTTTAAAAAAGAAAATTATTTTCTTAATACACCCAATGACACACTTCGACCCGGGATGTCTACTTGAACCCGGAATCAAGCTGTGCTGGCTGATAGCCGGAGGGTGACGAAGCCATAAAATGTAGCGATGTGGAAAATATGAATAAATTTAAACCTAAAAGAGCCTAAATATAAGAGTGTGCTTGTGAGCAGAAATGAACCCATTTCACACGTGATGTCAGAGCATAAGTAAAGTATAGTAAAAGTATAGTGAGAATTATATCATCGAAGGTAACCACCTATACCAAGATTTGCCAAGGATTCTCGTCGACACAAAGCTCAGCTACTAAAACTTGAAAGGGCGAAAAACAACGGTGAGTGTGCCTAAAAACAAAGTTTTGTAAAAACCTTTTTCGAAAACATAATAACCACTCGCCGTAAAAGAAGTATAGTTTCCAAAATATACATGTTATGTATATTATGGAAATACTTACCGTATCCTGTAATATCTCAAGAATTTAATACATCACAATATTTCTTATATAAACACCTAACATCCGGTAGTCACATAATCTCGCATAAACAAACATATCATATCGAGTGCTTATCGACATATGCTGACACACGAGTTCATGCAGAGGTATTATGACATGAACAAGACTGAATGTAATAATGATTTACGCTCTAATACTACAATCACGTGGAGACTAGCGCTATGCGCGTCACATATGAGTCCTAATTGCCTATAGCAATCTAAGATAGGACTGGCACCTACAGTGGATCCAAAGTGAGCGTACGATACGATATGAACATATATGTGAAGCCTAGCCCTTGCCCAGCTGAGTACAAACACCATTGTAGCACATGACAAGCAGATAACGTAAATATAAATATGCACAGTAATTTGATAATTCTAGTTGACATAAAAATATTCATAGCCGTAAATCTAATTAAGGTATCCCCTTATAGTAAGCTTACATGTGCATCCCGTAGGATTATTTCATAATTTCTCAACAATCCAACAATTCTTATAAACGTTAATTTAATTATGGCAATCATGTAGGAACTTCGTTATTAGATAACAAGTATATGTGTACTATATAAAAGAAAATACCCACTCACAAATACTTGCGAAGTCGCAGCCATTTGAACTAGGAAAACTGGAGTCTATGATAATAACCGCACCTAAGCATAATATTAGGACCATTCATAAAACTCCACTAAAATGATTAAATTTGGGAAAACAGAGTGCGGATTTGAAATCAAGGGGTCAAAATACCCAAAGAAGGGTCCCTGACAAATTTTACAAAAAGGCAACGAGAAAGTCAATGGTCAACTCTAAAAAGTCAACTAAGCTGCCCCAGTGGTCAACTACGTTAAAACTTTGGAATTTCACTAAATGGATGTCAAAAATGGACTCAGGGTATCAAAATTAGCCTAAATTGTTTTCGAGAAAATTTTGAAAAAGTCAACACAAGAAATATTCCATATCCTTTTTAGGAAATGGGCCATATAAGGTCAACGACCTAAAGATTTAGGCTGGGTTTGGGCTTGGGCCCCCTTTTCTTTTCCCTTTCTCTCCCGGGTCGGGTTGACTAGTTTGGGCTTGTAAGTCGGTCGAACCCAACAAAGAAGAAGGCCGGACTGGGCCGAGTTTGGTTGAGAAACTTCCCGAGCTCCATTCGAGCTCGATTCTTAACTATTTTCAATGAAATAAAAATCAAAATGAAGCTTAGGAGATCAGGAACAAGAGTATACCAAAATGAGGTTGAGCCGTGGTTGAGATGGGTCGGAAAAAGCCTGTAAAGGCCAAGTTCCTCACCAAAAAACTGAAAAACTTTCCCCTGCGTCGTTTCTGAACTAAAACCCTCACCAAAGACCTTAGAAAACCTAGAAACATAAACCAAAACATGATCCAAGAAGTTTAGGGTGGTTTTTGGAGCTTACCATCGTCGGAAACTCAAGATATATGAACAGTGATGGTGCCACTGACGGAGACAAAAGGAAAGGGAAATGCCTCAGCCTGGTCAAAGTTCGTGACGGGGAAGTTTTGTGGGTGGTGTACTCGTCGGGGTAGACTCGTCGGTGATGGAGGGAAGAGAGAGGAAGGTCCGGGAGAGTGAGGGAAGAAGGACACGCGACGAGGAGATAGTAGAGAGTTTGAGATGTGTGGGCCCCACGAGCCAAAAATAAATTATTTAAATATTTAAAATATCAAATCAGAAAATATTAAAAGATAATAGAAAAATAATAATATAAAATAATAATTTTTTTTTATAAAAGTATTTTTCAGATTTGTAAATCTGTAAAATCTTCATTGTAACTTTGAATTCAATTCCGCTTGCGCCTACGTGTTCGTACCGTCGAGTACTTCGAGAATACAGTAAAATAGTAGCTCGTACATGTCATGAATTAACGGTCAACAGAGGTCAACAACTCGCCTTAATGGACATTTTCGTCAATTCACTCCTTTAAAATTTATAAAATCGTAAAATTAGGGACATGTTATTACACCCAAAATTATTTTGAATTCGTATTAGATTGTTTTTCTTCAAGCACTCAAAGTATTTTCCCTGTCCACATTCAGTGGCCAATGTGATCGCCAAATTTACTCTTTAGTTTGTGGTGGAAGGATATGAAATGGTATGAAATAGGAGGTCGTGGACAAGTTAGGTTAATCATTAGTAGAATTACCATTATTCCGATGTGATTTTATTAACAAATAATAACAGTAAGTATATATTCTTGAATCGAATATTAGCTTATTCCCTTCCAAAATTAATCCAAGGCACCCATAATTTTTTCAACAAGAATCCTTGCAACCGCTAATGCAAAGACTTGCATTCAAATTTAAATATCAAAGAATGTTAAATTAGAGGTGATTCGTCTAAAGGCAAAATTTTTAGCTCAAAGTCAAATCTATCATCAATATACGTTAAAATTGATATTCGAGGTGAAAAAGATGAGTTTGTGGGCCTTTTTTATTATATTTAAATAGACCAAAGTCGAATGTGGGGTTTAAGTGGAGATTGTAAGTGTTTGTAGAAAGGATGGAGTGTGAGGGTAGTATTAGACAGTATGTGGGGTGTAATAACAGTTTTAGTACAAATAGAGAAAGTTGAAGGTAAAAACTCATTCAAATAATAACAATTTGAAATGTGAAATGTGAAATTGCTTCCCAATCAAAAAGGAAACGTCAGAAAGCGAAAACAAAGAGAAAATAAAGGAAATAATCAATCACTAAAACCAGAAAATAAAAGATCAAAGAAGTAGTGGCAAACAGTGTCCCAAAAACGGGCCAGTTATTTCCTAAAATTATAACAGGATTCGATTTTTTATAAGTCAATTAAACTTTTGATCTCGCAATTTTCGAGTTCGACCAATTCGAAAAGCTGGGTAGTTCATTGACATTCTTCCCAAAAGGGTCGAACACAATATATAGTTATTATTTGATCATAAGAATCTGTTGGTTTATTTACAGCTGCAAGCAAATATTTGACGGTAAGGGAAAGTTGAAAATATTTTGTAAATGCGAATGTAGGCTGGCATCTTAGTATATATGCATGAATGCATATTAAGGACCTTAAATAAATTCGAATAAATTGATTCATTCTTGCAAAGATATGCTCTTGGTCTCTAAAATTTGGTGTGACGTTAGTTATTAGTGTGTTATATGTGGGTCGGACAACATTAGCAATAAATTATGGACCTAGTATATTACATTAATAAATCAATACACATGCTTTTTTATTTGATTACGCCTAATCTAAATGACGTTGAGGAGGATTTGAACTTTGGTTTAGAGAGAAAACACATATTTCTACTCAATTTAGCTAAATATGACTTTCCATACACATGTTAGCATTAATTGATTGATAACGTTACTTGACACTAGTTATGCTGAATAATTATGGAAACGGATTTGTTTTACTTATTACCCTAGTCGGAAGCTTCACAAATCTAGAGGGATTGGCACTCTCTACTTCCGGCAAAAAAATTTGAACCATATCCTTTTTATTTTCCTACCAAAAAAAAGAACAGCAACTTATTCATTAATTTTGAAATATGGAAAGTTATTTAATGCTAACATATTTCTTAATTTCCATCTCCACAACTCGGCGATGCTTGTGAAATAGGGTAGATGACTTCCTATAAAATGCCAACTTGCAACGATTTTTGTTACTACTGTGTTTCGAAGGTTGATATGGAGACATTTGACCAGAAGCTTGCTTCAAGCTGGTTTGATGTTCAATCTGTTCCCCAAACCTATCTCCACCCACCAGAAAAGCGGCCTGGCAACACTATTGGCGTTCCTCCTTGCAAGAACATTCCGGTAGTTGATCTTGACAACGATGATCGCAGTCACACACTTCAACAAATTTCCAAAGCTAGCCAAGACTTCGGATTTTTCCAGGTTTGAAAAGAGTCATGCACCTTCATCAACTTTACACTTCTTTCTTCTTTTTTTTTTTTTTTTTTTTTTTTTTTTTTTTTTTTTTGCATTGAAGTTTAAAGTTCAATTATGTTTATGCTAAACGAAAGTTGTCTGCAATTGAATAGGTATCTGTTCTTTATTAAAAAAAAATTGTTTAAATGTTTTTGATAATATGTCATCAAGTTCCTTATCGGTGCATGTCTGTTTCTATTCTTTAATTTTTATTTAATAAGGGAACGACGTTTTGCTCAGAGAATTTCTAATAGTAACAGTATTGTTATTTTCTCAGGTCATCAATCATGGGGTATCCAAGAAGTTGATTGATGACACAATGAGTGTTTCCAAGGAGTTTCATGCAATGCCCCGAAAAGACAAGATAATCGAAGGCTCAAAGGACCCCACTGGAAGATGCAAGTTCTACACAAGCAGTGAAAACTATGCGAGTGAAGAGCTTCACTACTGGAGAGATGCATTGACTCACCCTGCTCATCCTTCTGAAAACAACATGCAGTTTTGGCCTCAAAATCCTACTCAATACCGGTACATAGTGCTCGTATCCTTTTCAAACAGAATGATTTCCGCATTTCCTTTTATCTCGCTACACTCTTCCTTTATGTCCTAGTAATTAAAGGAGAATCAAAGAGCTTGAAGGCGATGAGTGTTTTATGACAAACAGATGTGCGAAAATCGCTACTCATTAGCTTAATTCCATGCGATTGTAGATTAATCATTGTAGATTAATGATGATTTTGATTTTTTCGTGTATTTGCAGAGAAGTTTTAAAGCCATACGTGGAGGAGGTAAGAAAGTTGGGTTCTAGGATTTTGGAGATGCTTGCTGAAGGGTTGGGACTGAGCAAAGAGTTCTTCAATGGTGGACTTAGTGAACATCCACGGCTGCTGTCCAACCACTATCCGCCGTGCCCAGATCCTAGTTTAACTTTGGGAATACCGAAACACCGTGATCCAAGCCTCATTACCATTTTACTGCAAGATTCAGAAGGACTCCAAGTCTTCAAAGATGGGAATTGGATTGGTGTTCAGCCTATTTCTAGTGGCTTTGTTGTTAACATAGGCTACATCATGCAGGTACGTATCTAACTAAATTGTAATGTTATTAAAGTTTATATGTAAAACCCCCTTAATATATACTCTTTAAATCTTTATATACAAAAAAATGTGATCTCCCGAACATTAACTTGATGGCGTGGATTAATGCAGATGATCAGCAACTCGAAGTTTAAAGGCGCTGACCATCGAGCCGTGACAAATTCAAGAGTTGCAAGGACAACGGTTGCGTACTTTATTTATCCGTCTAATGAGACTGTTATAGAACCTGCAAAAGCTCTGTGCAATCCACCATTGTACAAATCCATGACGTTTACAGAGTTCCTTCAATACTTCAAATCGAAAGCTGCCAATGACGAGGAACTGTCGAAGGTTTTAAGCCTCTCGGAGAGCTAATAATGTGACCCGCGCGCCAATTAAGATAAATTACCACATATTTTGAGTTATAGTTTAGAATGATCTCTTCAGTTTTAAGTTTAGAATAATGTCTCGTACAATATTCCAAAATTGAGTTCATTTGGTTGTATTTAAATGCTAGCATTTATATTCTATGTCATTTTTTTAAGTCTACTTCATTATAATATTTCGGTAAACATTTAATTACACATATTCATTATAGTATAGCTCGGTACTAACATTTAGTTACACTTGTTGTACCATACATTGAGCCTTAGTATTTGGGCCTCATGATCGAGCCCATGATGTATGTAAAAGGTGAAGGAAACTCTTATTCTATAGAAGGGATCCTTCACCCCCACTTGAAGGGGGAGCAAGGGATGGCGAAGAGAGCAAACCCTAGCCTCTATAGCCTCCATGTACATTGTAACCTTCATTTACATAGTGAAACCGAATTGACACCAGTATGGACGTAGCCCCAACTTGGGGTGAACCACGATATATCTTTGTGTTCTTGTGTGTTTGTGTGATTTACGATCTGATTTACATTGGTCCAAGATCGACCCGATTTTGTGCGCCAACAACACTAATTCATCATAATATATTTAAGTACAAATATTTTGGTACATACATTTTTGGACAAACAATCCAATTTAATATATTTTGGTACAATTATTTCTGTTCACGTATGTATTTACATACTTTTCTTATGTGTCACTAAATGTTCTCTCATTTTGGCTTATTTATAATTGGAAGAACTAAAATGTGCATATTAACAAAATTAAAATTTTAATGTGGAGAGATGAAATAAAAATACACATTAAATAATAAAAGTAAAATATGAATTTTATCAAAAATATACTTCGAAGGATTAAAAATCAATATGTAATCTAACACCAAATCATGAGCTTTATTGCTAGTGATTGGCATACAAAAAATATATATAGGTTGTTGACTTGGAGTTGCAGCGCTGTACAAGTTGTGTGTTCTTCAGGGAAAGAAGAAAACTATGGCATGACTAGGAGATATATCATGCATCTTTGATTATGAAGTGCAAACACAGGCTTCTATTTGAACAATATTTTTTTAGGGAAAATTAGAATTCCTTACATTTTTTTTATATCATTTAGATTAAACATATGTGCCTTTTTAAAATTTGATTAAAGTGTTTTGACTAATAGTCACCTCTATTTTTTAAAATTAAAATAAATTTTGAATTTATCCTTTTATCTGCAGGATGCACTTTTTCTTATTTAGTGGAGATTTTAGTAGTTAAACTATATTTTCTCTTCTTCCAAATATGTTTTTTTTATGCAAACATTTAATATTATTTCTTTTTCCAAATGGTGAGATACGCATACAGTTGACAATGGCTCTCCAAAATTCCAAATCCATCAATTTAGGACATATTCTACTTGTAACCAAGTATGTATATCATCACATAAGATCAAAATCTAACGTAATGAAAGAGATAGAGATAATGTGATATATCACCAATTATATCTAAAATTATGCCTTATCTAACCCTTAGTATTAGATGGCAAGTGATTGTAAATAATTGTAAACATATCTAATTTGAAGTGCAGATGACTTCAAAAGAAATGCGAAAACGATCACCCTTAAACCATAATGGGTTGTAAGAAGATGTTGTAGGGAGGGACTATGTCACAAAGAAGTAGGCCAACTCCATTCTAAACCATAATTTCAGAGTGGTCCAGAATCACCTTCATGTTTAACCAATCTTCCAACACCTGTATAGAAATATACATATATGTAACTAGTTACAACTTTTAATTAAAAGTAAAATTCGAGAGACACCAAGACGTCAATAAGGGGCCACTAAGTTGTGATTTATATACGGTTTACTGTAGATTTAGTTTTTTTTTTTTTTTTATCAGAAATTTGTAATTGATCTCCAATTCTTTGTACATTCACATTTATGTTGTTACCAAACTACTTCCGCTTTAACTTTTATATATGATGTTGTTTAGGCATTTTTGTTGAAATTTGTGTCTTGCAGGCATCTTTGATGTATTTTTTAAAATTTATTTTATTGAATTTCATTGATTTGATAAATTAAATTAAAAAAATAAACTCTAAACCTATTGGTCAGAATCTTATATATCAGCATCTGTGAAACACAAACTCTCATGTTTCATTGACATTCAGCTCCATTTTTTTATGGCACCAAAACACAACAACTGGTACAATTTTGGTGATCAAACTGTCTTCCTAAACATCAAAAACCAGGTAAACTCCACATATCAACCACCTCTGCCCAGTCCACCTTCTTCTTTCCCTACCTTAGCTATTGTTCTACTAAGCCTCATGGCCTCAGCTTTCTTGCTAGTGAGCTACTATCTCATTGTTGTCAAGTTTTGCTCAAAGTGGCACCAACTCAATCTCTTGATCATGAGGTTTCCGACCACCTCACGAGCTCGACAAAATGAGGAGCTACTTACGGCCTTCTCTCCGTCAGTGTGGAACCGCGGCCTTGACGAATCAGTCATTCGTGGAATCCCAACTGTTCAGTTCAAAGGAGGAGAAGTTGATGAAGAGAGAAGTGTGTGTGGATGTGCAGTTTGTTTGAAGGAGTTTCAAGAACAAGACACACTAAAAGTTCTTCCCAATTGCAGCCATGAGTTTCACTTGGACTGCATTGATGTATGGCTTCAAAGCAATGCCAACTGCCCTCTTTGCAGAACAAGTGTTTCGGGTACTATTCGTTGTCCAATCGATCATGCCATAGCACCGAGCTCTTCGCCTCAAGACTCGGAGCTGTTTTCGATCGGTAGTGATGTGGACTTTGTAGTGATTGAATTGGAGGGAGGAGATGGAGTCATACTTCCGCCTAGGCAACAACATAGCAATGATTCTACACAAGTCATAACTCATACCACTACATAGAAGTTATGAATCAAGAAGGACGGAGAATGTCAAAAACTCAGGTCTGTTTTTCCCTTCCTGTTGAGTGTGAGTTGTAATGTGAATTTCTTTTTGTACCCTTTTCTTCTTAATACAAGCGGTATTGGAAGAGGGGAAATCGAGCTTAGGACTTGAGATGTATAGATGAATGCTTTTAACTAAGCTGTAAACAGTTGGCGCAAGATTGGGAGAGGGTAAGTCAAACTTAGGACATCAGGTGCAGAAGTGAATGTTCTTAACTATCTTGGAACGACATTGGGAGGGGAATCCGAACTTGGAGCCTTGTGTAGGTGAATTATCTTAACCAACTAAGCTAAAGGTTTGATAAACCAATGTATGGGGTCACATTGGGTTAATTTTAGACATAATGAAAGACATTGGAGATTCCTTGCTTAAACCCTGGCATGGGTTTTTGAGAATCATTGCTTCTAGCTTTGTTATCTTCTTCTCCATGAATGAGAATGATTACTTTTGACATATTTTTATATTGAAGCAATTATGCAAATGTTGGTGAGTGCTGAAAGCCTTAATGGATTCATTATGTCCAATTTTAATTATACGAATGCTATTTCTTTGCAATAATACTATTCTTACCATATTTTTGTACCATAATTGTATACCATCTGATATGGACAGCCATATCATCTAAATTAATTAACATTTAATTTCAAAATGTTAATCAATAAATAATAAAAGATTGTTAATTAAATGACGATTGTGGTATACGAGGAGTCTCCTTCTTCCACCTAAGATTATTTAAGTCTTTTAATTAATAGAAAGATTGAAATTAAATGATGTAGTTTGTCCAACTCATCTGCCACCTAAGAAGGTAAAAAAATGTGATATAAAATTATGATAAGAATAACATTACTCATTTCTTTGGCCCTTATGAACATAGAGGAAAGAAAAAGAAGGCTGTATGATTTTTGCACACGCATTTTTTTATGTCGATTCATGTTTAACTTTGTCTCTAGGTTTTCTTTTGATCTATTCAATTCAAAGAACAAAAATAAGCAACGGTATGCATGATGAGAAAATGGTGTACGAAAATCATTTCCATACAGGCATGTTTAGTTACAAGGAATAGAAATTGCGATCATTTCCCTCGTTAACTTTCCCTGCGTTTACTTACAACTAAGGAATAAAAAAAGTGAAAATTTTCCCTTGAAATCTGTAATTAAATGCCTAAAATCTGGAAATCAAATCCACTAGGTGACTAGTTGATCCGATTCCCTTTCCTTCTCTTTATGTTTTAGTTCCCTAATTCCTTCAATTTCCCATTTTTGTTAACATGCCCTAAAAGAAAAGCAGGGCCAAAACAACAAAGCAGCATACATGAGCCAAGCCAACACCAACATCATCATTACATGCCTTTGCTAACCAAACATCATCAAGAAGTTGTTCAAGAGAAACAGAGTTACTATATTGTAGGGCAACATGTCTCAGAAAAATCTGGCAAGCCAGCGTAAACCAGTCGTCCACACGCTCGAAATGTAGATTAAATTCTTACTAAACATAATAAGTGTATCACAAAGACCCGTAAGATCGTTTATTAATCAAGCAATTAAGGACCAAGATTATCATTACAAGCTTCGTAGACAGGCTAAACTCGAATGCTGGCCAAAATCTTCAACTTCTAGCAGAAAAAACAGGGTGATTACTTCAGAATAATTAAGGCATTGGCAAAACTATGAATCACTATAAATTGTGTCGTTTATATAACTAGCTACGTAAGATTACCAAAAAAATTAAAACCAGCAGCCACAGATCCTCACCAATATATGAAGCTACCCAGTCCATGCTATGCAGCAGATGGATAAGTTTGAGCATCTTCTGAATTATTAATTCACAGGAAATCAGCCTTTTGAACTCCTGTCAGATCCATGCGTTTGGGTCTGGGGCAGAGGTAAGGCCTTTGTAGTAAATTCATTACTTGCAAATGTGTTACGGGCTTTAAATTTCAATTGTTCGAGAACTCGGTGTGCTTCTTTGAGTTCGTCTTCAGCACTTGGTCCGTGGCTTTCCCAAGCATCAACTACTTGCTGCTGGAATTGGATTGCAAGGACATAGCTGAAAAATCCAGGAGAGATTCTGAGATGCTATATTTGTCCATAACAATCGACATAAGACTAAACATTTCTACTAAATGCATCATTCGTCTAAATGAATTGCTGCTTGATAAATAGAATTTAAGTGCCAGAATCGTATTAAGTTAACTTTCTTTGACCAGGAAACAATGGAAATAGCAAGATTTATAACCACATTGTAACTTCCATATCCAATGAAGTAATAAATCTATTATGTAAGAGAATAAGAAAGAGTATTAATACCTTCCCATGGCAGCGTATGCTTTTGAGAGGTTCTGGCATGACTCAATTGAATCGGCATGATGGGGACCAAGTGAGACATCCATGATGTCCTTCGCAACAGCAAACATCTGTGCAGCTGACTGAGGTCTCTCTAGTTCTAAATATGCTGCCCCCAAGTTATTGTAAATATAGCCGACGCCAAAATGCTTGGGACCAAAGCTCTCTTTCAACCTCTCAGCTGCACTCTCCAAGTAAGGAACAGCCTGTGAGACCTTTCCGGTCAACAGAAGTAACCACCCTATTCTAGCTGAAACACTTCCCTCAGAGTGCTGTTCTTGTGGGAGCTTCTCAAGCAAAGCTAGTGTTCGCTTTAACAGTGAGATTGCAGTTTCAAACTCATTCATAGTCTCATATTGCATTGCTATCTCCGAGTATGCTTCAGAAACATCTACTGGGGAGATTGTCTCTCTCTTGTCAAGAATTCCACAAGCAAGCTCCAAACATCTCTTTGCATCTGCCGTTCTTTCCTGATTACATAATGCTTTTCCCATCGAGATAAACACCAGTGCCCTAGTCTCACTATCCTTATCTGTCTGCTGAACAACACGCTTCAAAGTTTCAATAGCCTCGTCAAAGTTTCCCAGGGCAATCTGCATATTAGCAGCATCAATCTCCGCACGAAGCAAGTCGGAACTAAGACCCCAATTCTTCAAAACCCTTTGTGACAATGCATTTTGCTCCAACGCTTTCTCATGCTCCTCCAACCCAGTATAAATGACTGCAAGAAGCCTCCTGTCATGTGCAACCTCAACCGAATTCTGCCCCAACTTTTCTTTGTGAATCTCCAACGCCTTCCTACAGAATCCTAATGCATCTTTAAAGTTCAAAAGAGCTACATACGCCTCTGCCAAATCCCGGTGTCCCTTGCCAAGTTCAGTACTATCTTTCTCCAACATCAACTCCTTAATCTCCAAACACTTCCTAAGATTCCCTAGAGCCTCCTCTCTCCTCCCCATTGCCGTCTTCACATTTGCCAACTCGAGCTGCACAGCGTGAAGCACCGGCCTAAGATCCCGAACATCAAAACCCTCCTCCTCTAATCTACACAACGCTCTATTAGCCCTATTAAGGTACCCCAAACTATCACTAAACCTTTTTAATCCATAATTAACAGAACCCATTAACTGCAAAGCCATGGCAACAACCAAAGAGGGCTTACCGCTATCGTCTCTATCCAAGGCCTTCAATGCTCTGGTAGCAAAAGACAGAGCCATTTCAGGGTCCTCGCCTTCCTGGTCAAGCTTGAGGCCGACTTTCAGAGCAGCCATGCCGAGCTCCCTCTCTTCGAAAGCCGACTCCATGGCCTTGAAAGCCGCAAGCATTTCTTCGATGGTTTTCGCAGACTCGAACGCCTCTTCAAGGTCCGACTTTTCCATGGATTTTCTTTGCCTGGAGGAAATTTGAGGCGATGTTTCGACGACGGTGTTCATATTTCGAGATGGGTTTGCTTGGAATTGGCTACTTGTGAAGAATGAGTCCTGAATTATGGCGCAGGGGCTGAAACGGGCCGGTGAGACCGGCGGCGGAGATTGCGAGGAGGAGGAGGATGGGCGGTCGGAAATGTAATTTCTGGAAAGAAAAGGAGGGGCTGAGGATTTGAGTCTCTGGCGAGTGAGGTGGGAGAAGAGTGAGATTGAAGATTTTCTCATGGTCCGAAATGTTGAGAGGTTTTTGTGAATTTGGGATTTTTGTTAAAACCCTTTTGCATAAACCCTACAACTGCTTTCTGCGTTCCAGTGAAGGCGATGGACAACGAACAATGAAAACTGCGATGTCCCTAAACGGCGGCGTTTTAGGCGCTAAAATTTCGGGTTTCCTTGCATAAGTCCAGTGGCATGGGCATTGTAATTTTTTGTGTGGATAAGTGTGTCGGCCCACATCATTTGTAAAATATATTTCACGAACGTACAGGTGTGTCGGATCATATCATCTGTAAATCATATCTCCTGAAAGCACGAAACTCTTTTATTTCATATTTTCCAGTTATGTCAAAGTTTCTCACATTTTGGGCTCATTACTTTTGTTGTCCTATTAATAGTCTAGCAGTAATGTCTAAATTTCTCTCTTTTGAGCTCATTACTTTTGTTGCCCTATTGGGTGTTATGGTTTTGCTTGTTTTGTCGACGTCTTTGTTGTACTTTTGAAGATGCTTTTGCTTGTCTTTGTTAACGTTTTTGTTGTATTGTTAGAGTTTTATTGAATAAAATCTCGTGTTTGGCATGAAAATATTTTTATTCACTATGACTAACAGACACAATAAGCCAATCATAATAATCAAGTATCAAACTTGTTATTTATGTAAACCGAATCTAAGGCTTTTTATTTACAGGTTGAGAAGAATGTCGCTTAACCGTAATACTAGTAGAATATTGAAGAACAAATTTGAAATGATCAATAAATAACTTATATATACTAGCATCTTGCCACATGTATTCTTTATTATCTAGACGTACTAATTAGGGAGGAGCATTCTTAGGCCATCTCCAACCGAGGGCTGGCTAGAGGACTCGTTTGGTCCTCTAAGATATTAATATCTTAATTAACAGTACATGGTCATATTTGCCTCCGTCTCCAACCGATGGCCAAAGGGCCATATGACTTGTTTTAGCCCTGTCATAAAAAACCGTCTCCAATCGAGGGCCAAAAAACCAAAAAAAAAAATATGAATACAATTGCTAGTCAGCTAGCTGTTGGATTCAAATTTTTGTTTAAGCATTTCTGTCAGTTATATTCGATAGGATTTTTTGAATTTTTGGCTAGCCCTAGGATGGCTGCATGCGACCAGCCCTTTGGCCATTTCAAATTCCATAGGGCCCACAAACCCTTTGGCGTAGCCCTCGGTTCGAGATGGTTTCATACTATTTTCAGCCCTGTAGACTCTTCGGTTGGAGATGGCCTTACTATATTAAAAGCTTCCGCTATTTTAGGATGCTGACTTTAGATAACACAGATTCCTCACAAAGTCAAGTATTGGTCTAATCAAGATTCGATTGAATTTATATACAACAAAGAATGCACAGATTCCTTGAATGAGTGGTAACATTAATCACATTCCACAGTTGCTACAAGACCACCCAAATTACTACTTAAGCAAGAACCTCTTGATAAAACCAGAGGCCAACAAATGGTAATCGATATCACTACAAGCTTGAGGGGTGGCTATGGATTTATTTTCGGAGTTTCAGGAGGTCCACTACTGTACACGTCACCGAAATGAAGATTACACTCTCCTGCCTCTAAGTCTAGGTCACCCACGTACGTCGTTCGGGACAAGCTTTGGTAGTTCCTCCAGTCCAACCGTTGTTCTTGTTCTTGTTCCGGTTCTTCTTCTTGTTCGTGTTCCTCGAAGCTTCCGTAAAAATTATCTGAAGGCTGGCGCATGAAGCTTGGAGGATCGAGAAAGCTTGACTGGGGCTGTTTCCCGTGTTGGGTGAAATCTGGAGGCTCGAGAAAACTTGACTGGGGCTGTGTTCCGTGTTGGCCGGTTCTAGCCCACCAATGACTCCGCATTGGATTTGCGGAAGTACCAGCGTCATGATGCTGAAGTACACTCTCTCGGTGGAAAGGCGCTGATGTAGAAGCCCCCATATTAGACTGTGAACGGTCATCATAACGATGCGCCCAGAGATCTTCAAATCTCAGTTGATTATGTAGAAAGTTGGTTGGGGTCCAATCAGTAGAATGTTGCTCAGTAGCTTCAAATGGTTCTTCTGGAATTTCACCAGCGTAACTTGCCGAATGGTGTGGCCGAGAGGTGTAATACCAATCAAGGAGATATGGGTGATTCTTTTGATCTGCGTCAATTAACCACAGAGACCCCAAGTGATAGCCAGTTCCAGGGCTATGATATGGCCTTTCCCGTGATAAAAGATTGTTCCGGTCGCCAAATCCTCTCAGAGGAGAATATGCATGTCGAGTTCCTTGTCCCTGCAACTTTTGCTCCCTGAAAGTTCTCAGCTTTTTAAGAAACTGATCACCTTCAGTATTTGGGTCCCACGATGGATAGTTACTCTTGAAGCTGCCACAAAGATTGGAAAGCTCATAAGATTTGAGATGCGGAAAGGCAATTATCCAGGGCGTGCCTAATTTGCATAGTCCTAGGAATACTGCATGTTTTTGGCAACTACTTAATTGCTGCTTACAGAAATCTTACGAGTAATGGTTGTGATCTTACCTCAAAAACGATTTCTCCATTTTCCCCTGAGAACTCCTCTGGGAGCGAGGTACATTGTAAGGTGACCCGTAATTGCTATTACCGTGCCTTTGAAAGTCGAAGGCACTAAAACTGCCAGGAAATCAAGAGGGCAGTCAAATTTCGTATTCTTGTTAATAGAGTATATGGTGCCAGAATACAAATGAAAAGACGGTGACAACAATGACTGATGGAGAATACCGACCTACACACATGACCAACACCCTCAACATCTACTGTGAAGTCTTCAATAAACTGTAAAATGTCATCCACCCTCTGCAAAATGAATCAGATAGCATATTAGAACAAAAAACTGCCAACTGTGCACAGATGGCATAGAAATAAAATGAGATTCAACAATTATGATCAAAACTGACCTTCGGAACAACAAATATAAGTAAATATGGAGTAAGGAAGATTGAGGCCATCTCCTCAAGTAACATCATTCCAGTATACTGCATTGAAAAATCAAAACAGCATGAACATCAGCTTAATTTGTTTTGTAATCATAAAATGTTATAAACTGTTAATTTCTTTCCTTCGGGATAAATTCAACTGGAAAGGGTAACTAATCTTCAAGCATGTAATATAATCAAAAATCAAAACTGGATATAATATTAACTGTGAACAATCAAATATTTACTGGGACGGAATCAAAACACTAGATTCCACCACGTATGTGATGCATAAATGGGGCCTATAAAATCTGTTTCACCAACTGGCAAAAGATACGTCCTACTTTTCTGAAACTCTCAACAGAAGCCACACTACACTACTTGAGTGCCCAGAAATATTTTCCACATGTAATCCCAGTTTAAGATGAACAAGAGTAAATGAAATGAGAATTACCTGAAACAGGGTTTCAAACTCTACCCGAACCCTTTCAGTATTCTCTTTGCCACGCCATGTCTTCGGCATATAATGTGTATATTGTACCACCATAGACATTGCGCCCTCTGGATCAAGGACCAGCAGTTCATCGGTAATGGCAGCCCTGCTAATAGCTGTTATAGTTCCAAAAACAGCAGCATACCAGAACAAGTTGCGTCCAAATATCTACATGATTAAAAAATATTGTAGAAACAAAATAATTAGCATCGAAATGTATACAGACAGCCTGATATAGCATTAAGTTACAAGTACGAATATCTTACATGGCCCTCTAGCAGAGATTCCTCCAGAAATGCGATGATGATTAGGATAGCAGCAAAGCCACCAGAAACAAAAGAGATGAATTTCGCTATTATGGATATAATAGGACAAGGAAATTGCTTCAGATAATCAGAAGCATGCACTACACTGCTCGTGACTCGGTGTTTAAACAAATGGTCCACCTGCCATTCACCATGCCAATAGTACAAAACACTGTACAATTATAGACATTGCAAACAAAAAGCAGGAAGGGAGGGGAATATTGATTTTCCTAAGCCAACATAACATTTGGACCTTAAATGACAACTTTTGACTAACAATTTTTTCTGTAGCATAAGTATCAGACATGGGAAAAGGATCGAGTTGAACTTGAGAGGAAGAACAAAAATATTACCTCATTAAATTCCCTAAACATCCACCTTGACAAATTTGACCACCTTCGAGATGATGCCGTGCTTGGATGGTTATAAAACTGTTCTGCATGCCTCAGGAAGAGATATACCAGCATGAATATTACAAGAAATGGGGAAAGGAGAAGCATTACGAATCCAACTACCATAAGCCTTTTCCTTAATGTTCTTGGATTAGATTTAAAGTCCCTTGTAACGCAGAAATTTCTGCAGAAGGAGTCACATCGTCAGAAACGAATATTATAACAGAAAACACACAGAACAAATAAAATTCTACAAGTGCATCCTGTTTGTAAACAATATTACACACTCATTCAAAAGGAAATAAATAATACAAGCCATTGATACATGAATAAACAATTATCAAGAAAGCCATACTCTACCCTTTAGTGGTCCTTGAAGCAATGCCACTCAAACCAATAAAACCTCCTACCAAAGATTCTAGTGTAGACAAAACAGGTCCCAGTTTATCATCTTTCCCTAAATTGTGCAAATATTTATAAGCACACGAAGTAGATTAGAAAATAAAAGCAATAAAAATATTAAACACAGTCTGACCAAGAGACTATGACAACTCAACCCAATACTTTCTTGCCAGTCAGGGTGACCATATTAAGAGATAGCTTCTAATTTTTATTTTTCTTTTAAAGGAAAGCATAATAGTTTTGCTCCTAGCATCTTATAGGATGAATCTTCACTGTAGCGAACAAAAATTCTAAAGTACAAAAACAAGAAAGAAGGCATCATAATGTATTCCAGATAATTGTAAATATGATATAGATCATATGCCATTTGGACATAAGATCAAGACTCCAAGTGAAATCGAGAAGTACATAAACATTGCAAGATGTTTGTACTTAGATTCACCCTACCGATCAAACATGCTCTGCAGAATGCACCAATTTAAGGTCCACTCGAGGGTTTTTGTCAGTATTAATCGTCCTTGCTTTCCATCAGAGCCAAACTTTACAATTGGACCAGCACCTGGAACCCACTGTGAAATTGGGAAAGCAAGCACCCCCTTGTTAAGCATTCCAATCAAGTAGTTCTCCTTCCGCATCAATCGCATAACCACATCATGAGCAGAAAGATCTTTGACCACACAGAGCCGCTGCGATCTTTGTAGCTGAACAACCTTTTCAAGAATTGATGCCCATGGCATGGTCTGAATTTCATTGTCTGTGACATGGAGACTGCAAGAAGACAACCAAAATCACTATTCTTTACCAGTAAGGCATAGATTTTGTACAAAACAACAGGCATAGTTTAAAATGCATTAAATCTTTTGAGATCAAACTACTCAGACATACCTGTTGTGATAGAAGTGACGGACTGCCAAAGTATCCCTTAACTGAGAGAAAAACCGCAAAAAACAGAAGACCAAATAAATGGAAAATATGCCCAAATATCCAACAATGATGGCTTTGGAAAGAGTTAGAGGGGTTAATGGGTGCTGATGAAGGGCTTCCTTAGCAAGGTCACAGGGCTTAATTCCAGATTCGAATGCATCCATCCCACATTTTGCATTACGAAGACCATTCCAATCAACTTTTAATAAGAAGAATCCTGAGAACAATATAGTGAAGCCCAAGCTCAGAAGTTCAACCATCCACTTTATAATAATACACCAAAGTCCTTTCTCACAGTAGTAGCTGTAGAGCCTTTCAAAGAACAGGTCCAAATCAGCAATTGGTTCAACATTTATACTCTCACCATTAAGAAGCCCTGAAGGGCTCTCACTACCAGGACTCGGTGCCCTACCATAGTCAGATAATTCAACCTCAGGAGCCACATCCCTAAGCAACCCTGATGTCAAAGATGAATCGCCTTTCCACTTCAAAATGCCAAGAGATGTCACACCCTTCAACCTACGGAACATCATTCACAAAGGTTGACAGTGGACATATACAGCCAGTCCATTCCACAAACTACTATACCAGTTAAGCAGGTATCTGCAAGGATGAAAGGCATAAGATAAGTCCTTTTACAGGCATGTAAAGTTCTAAACAAAGTTCAGCATCTGTGAAGAGGGTAAAATATATAATGCAGTAACAAAATCAATAAGCTCTCCCACCACAACCAAAACACCCCACTCAGATTATCATCACATTGGAATGACAGTTTAAAGAGGATCAAATTATCAAATCACAACTGAACCAACCACGAACTGTCTCCAGCATACTAAACTGATCCGCTGAACCCAAGTTTTTTCAGATTGAAAATGAACTAGTAAGTATATAAATATGCCAAACAAACCAAACTTAGAACATAGGCACTAATTTCACTATCCAGTTGAGTAAAAGCAACAGCGCAACCTCGAGAAACGCACACAGAACCTCTCCAGTGCAATGTAACACAAAATCCTACAAACCTAGCACCCATTTTGTTTTTTATCCTACATAAAGCAATATACTTCAGCTGTTTACTTTCTCGGAAAGTTCCAGACTTTTGTGCAACAAAGTAAAAATCATACCCGAAAGCTGGAATAATTACTACAATCTGATCATCTACCTTGACCATAAGTCAATTCACCACGAAAATATCAAATCCTAACAAACAAATTAAACAAAACCCAGAAACGCAAATGCAAAAATTCGACAAGAAGAGGAACAAAACCATGTTTATGCACAGAATTAAAAATTGAACAAAACTCCATCATATTCAATCTTTCTTTTGGGCAAAACAAACAAAACCCAAAACGAATAACAACACGATAAAGTTAAAGAAAGAATCTTTACCTCCGAGCCACGAAGCAGCATCATCAGAAGAGTCGAAATCAATGAAATTGATTGGAACACAGAAAAGATACGTTTCGAAAAGGACACCCAATTCGAAACGGATTGAGACGGTGAGAGGAAAAGGGCAAAGGGGGAAGAGAGCTGTGGAGGTAAAAAATGGGGAAGAAGCTGGAGGGCAACGGTCCTGTAAATACAAATGGCTCTGCCGATTGATTGAAAGCAGAGAGGAGAAACCGAAGAGAGAAGGGAAAGCTTTTGGGATTTTTGTTCAAATTTATTTAATCATTTGGATGTTTTGTTTTCTTCTTCTTCTGTCTCCCTGCGTGAGAGCTTGCTTGTTTAATTGTACCAAATAATAAGAAAATACTAGGAAGGAGACGTGGAGTCGGGTAATACTTGCGAAGGGAGCCTTTGATGCTTCACAAACCTTGGTTTTTGTTGGAATTAAATTGTATTAGGTTCAAAAATCTTAAATAATTGCGAGTATGACTGGGGAGGGTTTGCTCCGGGCCCAAACAAGGCCTGGATAATAGTGATATTTGGGCTTAAGGGCTTAATAGGGGAGCCCACGAATCTACTTTTACGATGGCGGTATTTTCGAGTGGAGATTCAAACTAGAATGTAAAGGAGGCAGACATGTTATCTCAAACAACTAGCCTAACACACAATATGTAAATGAAAAACACTTGGGTCGAAAGCAGCTGGTCGAGCGAGCACCAGATTAGATATAGTGATGCTGATTGTCATGGTAAAATAGTTGTAGTCGAGAGATAGCAGTGATTGTGGAATGTTGTACATACATTTTAAAGATTGAATTTATGAGGCACATGAATTTCTAAATGTTTTTGTTTATGAAGTAAACAAGAAAATTGGTGCATTTAATTTTAAATTTCGATTCTATCTAAATTCTCAGGTTCAAATTTCATCTCATAACGAGCTTGATACCAATGTGTTTTCATGTCCTTGTAGTGTTAATGTATCTTTATATCAATTTCATCCATCTCATATTAACGTCGTTCAAGTCGGATTGTTAGTACATGCTTTTTATTACAATGCACAAAAATACTTGCGGAAAGATTAGTATTTGTAATGTGTCGTCGTTATTTTAAAACATTCCATAAACAAAAACGGTGACACAACAAACAAATCACCTCTTTCTACTGCCTAATATAATATAATAAGGTAAATTCATCTCTGAGTTTTGAATGTTAATTTCGATTCTTTTTCTTTTTTCTAAGAAAAAAAATTCAGGTTTCTGATTTTTGCTTTATCATATTAAATTTTTAACCTTATTTTAAGTTGACATTTCCAGCAGGGTTACGTTTTGGGAATGTATTATTCCCACTCTTTGATTAATAAGTACGCATGCGATTTTTTAGAAAAAACATTAAAAAAAATAAATAAAGCAATTCCCAATGATCCTGAGCTTTTGAGAATCTTTTAGCCAAAATTACGCTTTTGTTATTGATTTTCACGTTTGTGTTACGAATCTAATCTTACTGTATGTAATTGTGGAATATTGTGATCTTGGTGTTCTTTTGTGCGTGTGCGCGCATACAACAGAAGAAAGGTGAGTTGCTACTTGACTATTGGTTCGACAAACATTCTAGATTGGTTCGACGATTCTTGGTGGGAGGGTATGCCGTACGAAAGTTGATTTTACCGTAAAATCAATTGATAAGATAAGAAGTAGCTCAACCTCTTATAAATTTATGCAAGTTCTCTCCTCTCATCAATATGAGACTCATTTTCAATACGTATCTTCACATGTGGCGAATTTTCAAGCCTAACATGAGATGATATGGAGCGCGTGTGGCCGTTTGACTTCACACGTGGGACAACCTGCTCTGATACTATGAAGAAAGTTGAGGTTCCACCGTAAAACTAATTGGCAATATAAAGAGTAGCATAACCTCTTATAAGCCCATGCAAGATCTCTCTTTCCATTAACATGGAACTCATTCTCAATATCGTCCTCGTGATTTTCCACATGATTATCCACCCGCCGATGTAAATCATTTCACCTGTTGTTCATGTGAAGAGCATAGTTTCGGTCATGGGATCTGAGGCAGCAACATGTTCGAGAGCTGAGAAAGTCAGGCAGTAGAATTTCCGACTTGAACAACATGCATATAGTAAGGATGTTGAACAACGTGCAAATCTCTGATGTCCTTTCGAACTACGATGTCAATGCAGACATTCTATTCATGCATCTAATTGTATAAGAAAAACCTTCAATGCTTAACACACGATCGATCGATTTCACTACTCGATTCGATTACTTCAGCTTCTGAATGAGAGAGGATGCATAATCTTGAATCGATCTCAGATTCCGGAACAGCGAGCGAGGTTGCTAAGAGAGAAAGAACTAGTGCAGCACCGGGAACAACTAGCCATCATCAATACCCACGGTGATTAAGTACTTGATTGTAATATATTGGTTAAAATTCAATTATCTGTTTAATGGACGTCCAAATTAAGTGTAGTGTAAGTCGGTACATACGTTTTTACGCACACAAATAATTTCCAAATCGTTTTTGTATTATCCGAAACCATGTTTAGTTAGCGTAGGCGGTCCGAATAGATCTCTGAAACAAAATTAGTGTTTGTTTGGGGTTATTTTTTGGAGCTGCTTCTGCTTTGTCAGGAAGTTTTGAGTTGCTGTGGTGTTTGGTTGTGATGACATACTGGGAGCTCAAGAATCACAGTATATAAAAAATTCGGGCTTGGGCCTAAAAAAGCCCAAATGAAAGCCCAACCGAAGCAAGAATGCGGGAGCCAACGGATCTATTTGGCGGGAAGCAATCGGCCAGGCGAGCGGCGCTTCATCTTTTCCCGCCAAGGAGAACTCGCGTAAATACCAAAATCCCCAAAACGCTAATCTCTTCTCCTTCTCTGTGAGGCTGTGACCCTCAAGATCTCGCCTTTCGATCGATTCCGAATCCGAGTTTCTCTTCATCTACTCAATGAGTTCCTCCGCGGAGACCTTCAGATGCGAGACGCCGGTGAGCAAAACCCTGAACCCTGAGCCCCAAATCCGAGAAAATGAGACGCTGAGCTCCAAAACCCCCGAGAAGCCACCGCAGCTCCGTCGTGGAGCTCGCAGCCGCAACGTCGCGCTCCCCATTGAACAAGTTAGAAGATCCGCTGCCAAAAGCCTGCTTAAGTCGACCCAGAAGAAGCAACTGACGGACGAGATCGCATCTTGGCCGGACAAAACCCCGCTGAAGACCCGCGTTCGCCGCTCCGTGCAGCTACCGGAAAAGTAAGAATTTTTTTCTAGCTTCAATTGATTATATGTGTTTGATTTGCTGAATTGTTTGGGTTGATTTTGATATATTATGTTCTGTGGGTGTTTTTGCAGGTATGAGATGTTGGGGGAGTTTTTCAATTGCTTGGATATTTCGATAGGGAGGTTGCGAAAGAAGGGTTTGAAGTCGAATTTTACGAATATTAGCCCGGTGATTGAGCATTTAACGGATAGGTATTTTTCTTTATGTTAAAGAAAATCTTTTTAATTTTCTGTTTGGTTGCTAAAGATATAATTTGATGCTGCAGAAATTGATTGAGTATTGTTTCTCTAATTTTTAGGAGGTTTACTTATACCCACTTGGCTCAGCTGAAATTTATTTTACCTGAGGTAATTGAGATAAAGAAAATGGTTGTGTGGGATGAGAAAACCAGTCGTAGGAAGCCGGATCTTCACATTAGCATGAATATTCATGCAGTGCCGAATGATGGCAAGTTGAAATCTGAAGGTGGTGGGATTATGCGTTTGAGGAAGGCTTTCCGCAAACGGCTTGCAGATATTTCAAAATCCTATCCTGAGGTATACTTCCGAATTCTGATTGCAAGCAATTTAGAATGCAAAGTACTGAGTTAATTTATGTAACAATGAGAACTTTAGGCAATGATTTTTATTCCCGGTCATTCTTGCAGCAAGGTGCCTATATTTCCATTTTTCTCAGTCGTTATCTAATTAAATTAGATTAGGAGTTAAGGAAAGTATTTTTACTAGTCCACTTGTCGAAGCTGGGGAGCAAGTTTCAAGTTTTGTAAATGAAAAAGAGAGATCATGCTAGTATACTTGTGACTCCAAGCTTTTCTTTTTATCGTTTTTACAATCTATTTCTTGATCCACTTTGCCAATACTATGTGGTCTAACAATTCTTAATTTGTTTTTAGGATTACGAAATTCCAGAAGAAATTCTACCATATCCATTCAATCATGTGAAGGAACACATGCATTCAGATACGGTCAAGTTTCCTGCATCGTCATCTCCTGGTGAGGTATTGTCCAGCGTATGTACAGTTAAGCAAGCAGCAGTATCAACGATCTGCCTTCAGGGTGATGCAATTCCAGATGAAATGCATTTAATGACATCTAATCAATCAAAGGGGGATTTGAATTCAGACATAAACGAGACTCCCACACAGTCAGTGCCAATTAAGACATCATTTGAAACACCTAAAAAGCAGCAATCAGCAATAGAAGGCTATCTGTCCCGGTCTTTTCAAAGGCACTCTTTTCAGAAAGTTACAAGAACTGAAACCCAATCTCCAAAATTTTCAGTTCCAGAGTCAAATTTCAGTGCTTTTTTCTCCACTGAGGAAATCAGTACTGCTGCTTCATCCTATGGCCAAGTTCCTGCAACTCCAACTAAAGAGAGAGACCACATAGAAAATGATGATGGTTTGCCCAAAACAGGTGCCAGCATTGGGTCAACTCCAGAAAAGGTTGCTTCAACACCAGCCAGGTTGATGACCACAACACCTGCATTGCACCCGCCAAAGAGATGCTATATGAACCCCAATGATAATTCTACAAGCTCCCCAAATAAATTGTTTAGGCGTTGCTCCAGGTCATTGAACTTTGACACTCCTGTGAAGAATAAAATGTTGAGCCCAGGTTATATTTCTACAAGCTCAACGAACAAGTTGGTTGGGCATCCTCCATGCTCCAGGTCATTAAAAATTAACACTCCTGTGATGAATAAACTGTTTGAGGAGAAAGTACTTGTTCTGGATGCCGCATCACTTGATAGTGACATTTCCAATATTCTTTCAGAAGGTCTTCTGCAATCAGTATGTCTATCGTGAATTTTCCATTCCTTTCTCCTTATTGAGCATGTCTGATTCTATAAAAGCTGCTGGAGCTTACTAATTCCATTTTTATTAACTTGCCCTGCACAAAAATTTTGTCTTCCCCTTTTTGTTCCAGTTGAAATATCAAAAGCAGATTAGATTATAAATATTCAAGAGATATGCTCTCATCATCTATTCCAGTTACCTTTAATAATGGGATGGATGGTGTAGCATATTTTAACAGATGTTTTCTGCGTCCAGCACACAAACTGTTATTGGGAAACTTTTTGTCTTTTCGCATGTAGTAGATGCAGCAGAAACTGTACGACTCTCTAAGATGTCAATAAGTGTAAATATTTTTCTTTCTTTTATTTTGGATAACAATATGATTGGATGAATGTAGAGTATATATAGTTGAAAGAAAAATAGTCATGAAAGCTTTTGGCTACTATGTCATTGTTGACAATTTTAACCTCGGAACCAGTCTCTAAGAATTGGTTATTCCATATTTCTCTGCTTCTACTTGGATATGAACATAATGAACTTTAATTTTGAGAACTAATCCATATACGTCTTTGCAGATTAAAGACAAGGAGAGAAAGGCAAAGGAGCGAAATGCAGCCATCTTGCAAGCAAAGAGGCGACAACAGATGATTTCCAGCCTTCCTGAACTCTTCAACATGATTCATTTCTTATTTCAATCAATGAACTGTTCATTTATGAAAAAAGAGGATCTTGTAGAGAAGCTAATTTTTAGCCATTCTGATATCGTTGATGAAGGTAGTCTATATATGAAAGAAGATTCTTTCTGAATTATGGAAGCTTCAGTTGAGCCTAAGTTCCTTTTCGTGGTTCTTTTCACAGGTGAAGTTGAAGAGCATCTTAAGTTGCTATTAGAACTGGTTCCAGAATGGATTTCCGAAAAGTTCGCATCTGGAATTGTCATCAAGTGAGTTGTCTTTATAGTTAGAAATACAATTTGTATGTTTTAATGTATATTGTATTCCATTACAAGTTGTTTGACATCATTATGTTTCTATTCTTCTTGCAGGATTAATAAATTGTCAAACCCTGAGTCCATACGTGCACGGCTTGAAGAAGCAAAGTGAGCTACATGATGGGTATTTGAAGGTTACTGTAAGAAGCAAATTTAGGGGATAGTGTCGCAATTTTACCCTTTCATTAGACATTTTGTAAACGTTTTAGTTAATTAGTAGTTCATGTAAAGTAAATCTGGGTGGCCTAATCTAGTTGTTAGTATGGAGGCTTTTGTCAAGAATGATTTAGCAACAATGTTATTGAAATATATATTTCCCTTTTTACAGTTTTAAGAGCTTTTTTTTTTTCTTTAAAATTCAAATGAATAGCAAAAAAATTCTATGCATAACAAAAAAATGCTTGGTTTCAAGCTGATTGAGATGTGCTAGTTCTCGAGGGTTATTTCTAAGCATCTTCTCTTTAACCACATTAGTTGGTAGGTCTGATGACACTTCTCATGAAGTTAAAGCAGAATATGATACATCTTGGATCGTATCGACCTTAATGTGCTAGCACTCAATACTTAAGCCATTGCATGTAAACAATACCAATGGCATTCATTCAGCTGACTTTGCTAATTGCTTAGTTTTCTAATACATTGTTCTGGATGATAGGATACATAATCTTCAACCAAGAGTTGCATCTTTTTCCTCAAGGTCTATATGGAGGACCTGTACTGCTGCTAAGATTCCATTGCATCTAGTGTTTCGTCTGCTCATTATTTAAGTAGATTGAAAGTCTCTCTGTGTGCGTGCGCACGCTGTTGTGTTTGTGTGTGTTTACATGTTGCTTGCAAGTCTGACATAACAGTGCTTCTACCTGCCAACGGGCAGTGGTCACAAAAACAGGTCCTTATTGTTTTGTGCACCACAGTTGAGTGAAGATTATGGTACCCGAGCATACAACTCCCTGTCGTTTTTGTTTGTCATGCAAAATATACTGTCAATAGCTACTTAATAAATTAGAATTCCACTCATGTCATAGCTTTACTTACAGCATATATGATGGACCAGAAGTCATTGTTGTATCTAATACTCCATGCTGCCTGTTTGTGTTGTATGATTAATGTGAAGACAGCCGATTGTGCTGCCCTATCCATGCGGTTAGTGATAGTTGTGCAGGATATTTCTTCAACGTGATTGCCTACAGATAGAAGAATACTTACTGTAAATGAAATCTCTTGCATTATAATACCATGTATTAGTTTACGGCGATATAATTTCTTTTTTATCATAATGTTCTTATGTAGCCAATAATGCATGCATTGTTTGTTGTGTTGCTATGAATTAGGCTAACTTACTGTGATGTAATTTATTTTTTATCATAATGTTTTTGTGTAGCTGATAATGCATGGTTTGTTGTGTTGCTATGAATTAGGCTAACTTTTTCTGTATACAACTTGCAATGAGGAGGATTGATCCTTTCGTCCAGTTTGTGGGAACAGAGTTTCTTCTGATGTGTATTGGATCTCCTGGTTAGCTTCGCACGGCAGGTACTTTGTACAAGGTCATGGTCATGACTCCAGCCGAAGATATTAAGGTTCCGAAGATTTTAGCTATTCCACGGGGCCTCCATCCTATATGAGATGTGTATTGAAAAGTGTTGTTAAAAACAAGCGAGAGATGTATACTTATCTTTCAGGTGTTTGTGAGCTTTTAATGCCCGACCATAGTATTACTACAATTAGAAAAGTCATGGATGGAATGGTGTTAGCGACTGATGTGACAAAGGTTGGAGACGTGTACTTCAAGCTGGCAAAATACATGTTAAGGGTTAAGCTAACCCTGTTCTTCATCAACAGAAAAAGGTTAGTATTTTCCTGCTTCAGACAATCTCAAATGTGAATGAAACAATGCTAGTGTCAACTTTGGCCTTACTTTGCTGCATGGAAACAAAAAAGAAACTTCAAATGGTAAACCCTCACTCTCATAATAATGAGATTTTTCAGTCGAATGTATTCAGTGTTAAAATGTACTCTAATTGTTTAGTTCATGATAGCAAGCTAGAAGTACCTTTCAAGAAAATAGGCAAATGGAAACATCACTACGCCAGCTACTATATGTCGATAGGTTACAAAGACATGAGGATTCATCCCGTGTTCAAATGATGCTGCTGTGATAAAGTAGAGAAATGTATAACCGATCTGTGCCAAAACCATGAGAATGTGCAGCTTGAATCTCGTGAAGGCCATCCCGTATGGACATACTCCAGGTGCCATATCTCATTACTCTGCAACTTATCTTTTTGCTACTCTCTCCCTGTTTATAGTCAAAGGATTTACGCACTAAATTCATCCGTATTTGTGAATGTGGTTCTGTTTTGATAATGCCTGCATGTTGAGAGAATTGTGTGCTTAGTACTAAGAACAAAAGTAATGGTTATATTCCCTTAATCAGCTCGTTTGGCTACACTTAATTATTCCTGAAACCATAGCAATGGCCAATATTTCTTCAACCATTGTCGGAGGCGGGTGTCGGGTTCAGTCCAGTGAAGGCAGTTGCATTCAATGAACTTTTTTCCCTGGGTTTTCAAGCCTTGCACGGTTGCACCAAGTGCCCCCCCCCTTATATTTCTCTCAGGAGGCAAACGCTTTTGACGACATATATGCCTACACTCTTTATTAATTTCAATAAAATTTTGCTTCTTTCTTTGATCTGCATAAAAAAATTGGTTTGATTGAACTTGTTCTGTAAGACTGAATGGCTATGGTTTGATTGATTTTATAAGAACGATTAATGAACTTGCGAGACTAAATGAATTCATTATTTAATTTATTAAAATAAAAAGGGCATTTATCGTTAAATTAGTTAAGAATTTGATATTTTGAATACTTGATACGTGTATCGACGAAACAATAATTGTTTTTAAGCACTTGCCCTATACGGATTCTTCCCTATTCTTTTTCTTTTATAGTGATTTGGTGATACGATATAACGCATATGTTGCTGTGGAGAATAAGAATTGTTCTTCCTGTTGGAAATTTGCTTTTGTAAACTTGTTCCAAAGGATTCTGCAGTCTGCAGAATTATTTCTTTCGGAAACATGCCCAAATAATACTGATTGCAGAATTTTCATTCATCATAGCTGCCCCAAATGGGAAAGTTGCACTTAATAACAAGGCAAACCTAATGCGTTAAACCGTTGTTTGGATACAGCTTATTTTTTGTTTAGTATTTCCACTGTTCGATTTTTGGTTAAAAGTTTGTGACCGACTCTTCTGATACAGGAGCTTTTAGTTTACATTCCAAATTCATACCCTCAAAGTTTTACATCCAAATTCATACGCACAAAAGTCAACCATGGGCTTTAAGGCCTCATTTGGCAGCTCGTAATGTACTGATTATTTCTGTTGGATAGGATAAATAATTACCGGATAGTTGGGCGTTTGGTGCAATATCAGGCTAATGACAGTATTATTTATAGGGAGTTTTAACGAAAAGCCCATGGTACTGTTCACTTTAACGAAAAATCACATTTTTACACTAGAATGATTCCGAAGGATATGACCCAAAGGAGGCATATGGGTTCTTTAGCAATTGAAAATTTATAAAATCAATTGCAAAATTAGAGAGAAAAACAACAATCAGATTCAATCTGATTAAAAAAAAAAAATTTGGAAAAAAATAGGAGGGCAGAACAGATAGAGAAGAAGAATTGCAAGAAAAATAGGAGGAAGGAACAGAGAGGAGGAAGAAGAACATCATATTCAGAAGAGGAGGAAGAACCTTGGATTCAGAGGAGAGAGCAAGCGATGTAAGAGTAGAGTGAGCGACGACAGGAACATAGTGGGCGAGAGACTACCCTGACTAATAATACACAGCTTTTTGGTTGGATAACTTAGCAGGTCTGTTGAGCAAAAATTGTACTCAATATGTAAACAAATAATTCATTCGATATAATTTTATCTTCATTTATTTTTTCGAATATGGTTTTTATTAATTCGAGTTCGACCCATTCTAGGTTACGTGCTTATTAATTACAACCATTCTTTTGAGAGAGGAATACTCTTTGATTCCAACTTGAATAAATCATAATTTGGGGATTTGGGTGTTTATTTTATTTTGCGACTGCACCTAAGTCAAGCCTTAGATTGCCCACGTACCCTCGTTGAGGGATTAAGTCACTCGTAGTTCCTGATGTATTTGTTGGGGTTTGATGCCTTGTGCAGTTTTATCTCGTGTAGGCGAGGACTTTAAGCCGTATGAGCTTTTGATGCCTTGTGCAGTTTTAACTCGTGCGTGTAAGGACTTTAAACCATTGGAGCGTTTGACGTCTTGTGCAGTTTTAACTCATACGGGCGAGGATTTTGAGTCGTTGGAGCTTTTGATGCCTTGTGCAGTTTTAGCTCCTGCGAGTGAGGACTTTAAGCCGTTAGAGCGTTTTATGCCTTGTGCAGTTTTAGCTTGTGTGGGCGAGGACTTTAAACCTTTGAAGCAAGTTTGAAATTTGATGCAGTTTTGTGCTATTTGATATTTGACATGACTTTATGTCATTTGAGACTTTTCTTCGGCTTCCATTTGGGATTTGATATGGCTTCGTACCCTTTGTAAAAGCAAGGTGCCCATTTGATTTATGGGGTGTGCTATCCACATACTCTTTTTTACTTCTCATACATTTCTTGTTAATTTTTATCCGTTAATCTTCTTCATTTCATCCTATATGATGGCTGAAAATTAAAAAAATGTGTAAAAAATAAAAATGAATGTGTAGATATCACATCTCTTGATTTATTTGAACTAAAAGATGATGATTGGCAAAAAATGAGTTGATGGGTTTTGACGAGAATGACCCATGTCTTTTCCTTTAATAATCAAAGCCTAGTGCATTTAGGGGGTGAGACCTAGACTCCCACGTGATGAGCAACCTTTCTTTCTTTTATTTGCCGTTTTTTTACTTTGTCTTTAAACCATTTCATTTTGACGTCATACCTGTCACTTTGTTGTCGCCTTTTATCTTTGCACAGCAGCACATCAAGTCTTTGCTTTCATATTGATTAATAAAAGCAAGTGGCAGAGCAACATTTTTTTTTTTTATAAATGCTTTTGTCAAGCTTTTATAGTTAGACTTTCTTTCAAAAGAAACCACATGATTTTATGTTGGAGAGCTGTGGCATTTTGAAGTTGCCACGTTAGTGTCTTTCCCATTTGATTTGGGGAGTTGTCAGCAAGCCTTCTCCTTCTCTTATCTTACCAAGTCCAAATAGGATTTTTTTTTTTTCATTGAGGATAGCTATCTTCTGCTATCTATTTGAGGATGTGGCATGCTTTTAGAATGAAGTCAATGAGA